AAAACCCCAAAACCCCAAAACCCCAAAACCCCAAAACCCCAATACTATCTTTCCTAGTTGAAATGGTTAAAGATTTTATTTAATCTATGAAGAAAATCTCATCATAATCTCTGGAGGAACCATTTCTGATCTTTCTTTCTTAATCTTGTCTTGTGTCCAATGTATGATTTTCTGAAGCTTCAGGAATAAGCTGGCAAATTCTTGCATTTCTTTGTCATCTTGATAAGATTTAATATATGTCTTACTGAAGTCCTCACTGTCTTCTATTTCTGTGTACTTGTCATTAATAATTAATTTGAAACATTCTACTATAGTGATCAGGGTCAATGCTTTTGAAGTCTTTTTCTGCAGATGTTCGCTTTGGTTGAGTAAATTATTTAACTTCATTCCAAAGCTCTCTTCTCTTTGTTGTGATTGATTAATCGCTGTATCAATATCCTACACTTTTGCCTTTCTGAAATTACCTCTTTAAATTTGTTTCCTTTATCCTTATCTAGACGGTTTCATTTTGGCTTACTTGGAAGATACTTCAAGACTTGTATGGCTACAGTTTTATTTGTCCTGAGAAGTCCCGTGGTTGTTTAAGTACTCGTCTTCTATTCTATCAAGGCAAGTTTCGTGCAGTGTCTGCTCAATTTGTTCTTTGATGTCCCATATTTCCTTGCTGGCCTCTTCGAATTCTAAATTTTGTAGATCAGATTGGGCTTATGTTTCAGATTAAGATTTTTCAAATTTGGTCTTCAGCTTAGGCAGGTGCTGAGCAGAGCTGAATTTGAGAAAATAGAGGTTTAAAAAATGACTGGAAGGCTGAGTTATATTACTAGTCCAACAAATACGAACTAAGTCCAATGACACATTCTTTTCTAATGTTTGTGTATATCCTATCCATGACCCTAAGCCATCTGCCTTACCGTCTTCTTCTTCATTGATAGATCCAAGTTGCTCGTGACTAGGCTCACTCATATTGATCGATGAAGAAAAGGATGCTAGCTCTTTGGAAAAGGCTGATTCAGATTTCCTGAAAGTGAGAGCAAGAGATTACTGTAGATTAGCCTGAAGAGTTTTGTAAAAATTGCCTATTCATTAGAGTAAGCTTACTATCTTTAAAAATAGTCTCTTGGTATAAGCGGAAGACACCTTGCAAGTAGGTGTTTACTTTTTCAACGAACTTATTTCTGCTGGTCTAACAGAGTGTCTTCGAGAGAGCCTCCCAGACCATCACCGTTCTTCACACAACTTTCTATACATTTTATCTGAAGTTTGGTCAACTTTTCACAGAGGGTATCTCTCTTATTTATAAATATCTGTTAGTTTTGATTTGAATTCCTTTGCTATTGTGGGGATGCTCTTCTTGAATTTTATACATTTGGTAATATTCACCTTGGATGCATTCAGGAAGTTCTACAATAGCTCAGACACTTCCCAAAATGGTCTCATCCTTACCTTAGTCTCATTGATTTTGGAAGATATCTCTGATTTCTGAGAGCTCTGACCGATCTTGTGTGCGTGATCTTGGTAATATTCGAATCATTTGGTATAGAAATTGATCCTTGAAATAGCTTCTCTATTTGTATCACTTGACTATAGAACAATGGGTCATAAATAAGGCATCTTGACTGAATGAGCCTTTAAGTAGCAGGAATCCTTACTGAAGTCTCTGTTCTGAAACTTAGAAATACGATATTTGACCAGAGATCTCTTGCTAAGATTTGGCTTGTACTTGGGGTCGACTAAAGCTAAGCTGAGACATACTGGCTCTTTGGAGGTAAGAGTCTTCTCCTGAAGCTATATCTTGGAAGTTTAAAGCCTGCTTTTGAGCATGCTTTAGGATGGCTTCGTAGACTCTGAGGGCTTCTTTGTGATCAGATTTAGGAGGGTCTTCTTTAGGGAATATTAGGTGGAGGTTTGGGTGAGTTTGAGATGTTGTTTTTAGAGCGGCTAGAGATGAGTGGAAAGGTACTTTTGGTAGTAGGAGTTAGCTTGATTCCTAGCTCTGAGCCAGTATTTAATATCAAATAATCTGCCCAATTCCTGATATTATCAACCAACTTTCTAAATCAACTCGGCATAGTTTTACATCTAAAATTGAGACCCAATTTACTCCTCTTCTTTCTCTACTAAAAGACCAAACAGCTCCTTGGCTATATAAATGAACCTATACATAAATTTATCCACCAAATGATTGCAGCCCATATTTCCCAACCTACCCAATAATTTCATCTTCTCTACCCTTCCTCTCTCTTTCCCCTCTATCTTGAGCCATACTTCCATTCAGACTTGATCTTCAATATCAGGTGACTAAATCCAAAACTTGTGCTAACAATTGGAGCATTTTTAGGAACCTGATTCTAAACAGTCACCAACTCTGAAGCTGTTAGAGAGGATTCCTTACCAACTTGCCTTGTCTTTTCTATATGTTATGAGGGTGAGCAGGGTTCTGGTTAGGTGAGTTACAGACAACCAATGTTGCCCAGTAGGGAGAATGAGCAGTTGATGTGCAGTGAGGCATAAGTAGTCTGCTAGCTCAAACTTCAGTTCACAGTAATATATTGAAACACAAAAGCAAGGAAATTCGTAAAACATTTTTGTTTTGGTAAAAGTCATTATGCCTAGGATTGAGGAGAGGTATCAAAGATAGGGGAGAGAATAATTACTCTACAAATATTACCTGAAGAAGCTGTGTTTGGAACCTCACTGGGGTCAGTAGAGCTCTCTTGAGATAACACGTATGTAATCAGCTTAGCGCTTCTTAAGAAGAGAGATTCTGAAGGAAACTCAGTTCTTTCTTGAAGAGCTTGGAGCTCAAGTAGACCTAGAAGTGAGGGTAGTCTTACCTTTAGCGTAAAGGATTACTGCTAAGTTGTAGGTGAGGTAAGTCACTGCAACGCTTGGGTCTTGATAAGTGACTGACTGGGCTTGGAAAGGACAGTGCAGGGTAAAGGAAGTATTGATAGAGTTGGAATACCCACTGTTGAATTTGACGGTGGCTTTGAGGACACGAAGGAACTCAAGGTAGGATTTTGAGGTTTTTGATTGGGTGGGCTGGAGGTAGAGGGTTTCAAGGGAGGTGAGATATTGATAATCCATTTTTATGGTGGTATTGTTACAAATGCATGATTGGAGATAGTCCATTGTTTCTAATTCAGTTCTGAATTTCTCAAATGATTGACTATATTTGATTTACCATTATTTTATGGCAATATATTTAAAAATGTAAATGAATTAACACACATGGTTTTGGCATATATCCTAATCAAAGCTTAAGTTTTCTATTTTTATTATCTGCTAGCCTGAATTCATTTGAATAATAAATGATGGAATAACCCTAAAATTATTCCCCAAAGATATATATCCAGATTTTCGCGATCAAAATTATTTTTATTTACTTTGGTTGTATTCCAATTTTTGCCTTTGAAGGGTCACTTCCTTCTTCATTTGTTTTATAAATTTCTTTATGAAATTTCTCAAATATTTTAACCCAGGACTTGAATTCTAGCTTTGCCAGAGGGAAAACAGTCATCATCTTTATTGAATACTAAAAAATTTTCAATTAATTAATTTACCTCAGGGGTTTTGGGGTTTTGGGGTTTTGGGGTTTTGGGG